CAAAAAAACGCATTGGAATAGGGGACAGAGGAGCTGTAGGAAACAAAATTTGATGTGGTGGGGCCTTGTACTCTAGCAACCGAGATGGCATATGGTTGATGATATATGCAACGCACATGACAACATCCATCCAAAAGCGTTTCGGAACATTCATATGGAGTAATAAACCACGAGCTACTTTAAGAAGATTACGATTTTTTCTTTCAACGACACCATTTTGTTGGGGTGTCCTAGCACAAGAGCTCCGATGAAGAGATCCACATGAAGCAAAGAACTCTGTGAGATCACTATGGAAGTACTCCTTTGCGTTGTCCGACTGGAAGATATGAATCTCAGTTTGGAATTGAGTGAAAATCATGCGTAAAAAATATTTCACAATCTTTGGCACTTCGTCTCTAGATCGCATAGGATAAACCCATGTATATCTAGTGTAGTTATCAATCAAAGTAATGAAATACTTATTTCCAATCTCAGAAGGTAGAGTAACAGGACCATAAACATCAAAATAGACAATATGAAAAAGAAATTCAGATCTTTTATTTCTTAAAGGAAAAGAATTTCTACAATGTTTGCTCAATTAACATGTTTGACATTACAACTCACTAACTAACAGAAACTTAAATAACTCAGGAAATATAAGTTTTAAAGACTCAAACGAAAGATGACCAAGACGATTATGCCACAAATAGGCATGACTCTCACAAGATGAACTTAAGGACTCTGTAGCCACAAAACTGGCTTTATTCTCCAACACGTAGAGACCATCCACCATGCTGCCTCTACCAATCGTCTTCCCCGAAGCCAAATCCTGAAACACACACGAAGGAAAGGTCACTGAACAATTCAAGGAGTGAGTAATACTGCTAATGGAAAGTAAATTGATAGGTAATTTAGGAACATGCAACACATTAGAAAGGGTAAGACCAAGAGGAAGGGAGATGGTTCCTTGACCAGCTATGGTGGAAAATGACCCATCAGCCAGTTTCACCTTATCTCTCCCAGAGAGGAGGTTATATGCCTGAAATAAATTTGACTTACCAGTCATGTGGTTTGAGACTCCAGAGTCATTTATCCAAGGGGAATAAGATGTATGGGATGACACATGGAAAGTAGTTACAGTGTTACCTAATGTAAACGCAAAGGAGGTAGAAGGAGTAGGGTCGGAATCCATCTGGCGAAGTGTCCTACCATATAATTCCAAGTAGCCACGAAAGGAGTTGATGATCTCTTCCTTGGGGTCATAACCAGAATATCGCGCTTGGGGTACCATGCGACTAGTCTCTTGAGATGCCACATATGTTGAATTATATTTCTTCTGACTCTGCTGGGTTGGCTTCTTACTCAGATTAGATGTTGATTTCTTACTCAATTCCTGAGCCCATTTAGGCTTATCATGAAGATCCCAAATTCCCAACATGTGTCTCTAGTGTGCCTGGACTTCTAACACTAAGTGCACCAATGCTTGTCTTTGTCATCCACTCTCTTTCGTGAATCACCATTTTTAAAAGAACCTCTGACATTTAAATTTGCACCCCCTCGGATAGCTAGTGCAACCACCTCCCCCTTTGTACAATTCATCACACTTCTACTCTCTTCAAACTGAACTAAGGCATAAACTTCTTGAACTGAAGGTAAGTTCTTACTTCCTAAGATTTGTACCCTCATGAATTCATATGTAGGATCCAGCCCCAAAGAAAGGCAAATAACCGTTGTTGGGAAACAAGTGACTTTCAGGCCTTTGCATCTTCATCACACTTCCAATTCACATTTTGATAATGATCCAGTTCCTAAATTGATGTCAGATCTGAGTAATACACCGAGAGACTCCTCTCCCCTTGCTTGCAAGTGGAGGATTCAGCTTGTAATTGATATATCTTTGCATAATGCCTCTTCTCTTAGGTAGATTTGGCTTGTTCCCATATTTCACAAGCTGTTTCAATCCACATAAATGTCTTCCTTACTTGTGGCAGCATGGAAGAGTCATGACATCACCATACTATTTTCTTGGTCCCATCCGTCATGTTCAACACTACCAGTCTTTGGTTTCTTCACTTTACCATTAATATACCCTATTTTCCCTCTATCAGTAATGTAAAGTTTAATTCCCCTAGACCATTCAAGATGGTTCAGTTCATCAAAGGGAATTACAGCCATGGGGAAACTCATATCCATCCCCCCCACTCAGTCCATTTTGACCTCTTAGAATTCCAAAAGTTGCAGAATTCTCAGAGGACATGACTCAAACACTTTTCAGATCCTACACACACCTTATGAGACAGTCCTAGAAACACACCAAAGATGCAGCCCACATGTACACACTGCAATTTGAACACAATCTGAACACAAACCAGCTTTGATTGTCCAAAAAAGAACAAGATTTTAGGTTCATTTCAGTGCTGTACTGCCCTAACAATCACACTCCAACTTCCAGACCATCCAAACACATCGACTACCAAGAGGGGTCATAAAACAGTATGGTCACACCACAAAGGTAAAAAAACCAGGCCATCCACGACCTACAGGTCTTGTATTTTCAGGTATGGATCACATGATCCATAAAAGAAGAGGTTAGAACCTCACAACTTCTCTAACAGCATTCAGCAGTCTTGATTCATTTGTTTTTTTCTTGGTACACAACCAAGAGAAAAGAAAAAAGGTAATAGAACAAGTTTGTACCAGTCGTAGGTCAGCCTTTTTATCACAGTCAAAGAAGACAGCAAAATAAGGAAGAGATAACTTGTTCGATCTGCACTCAGACCTAGTAGAACCGCTCTGATACCATATTAACAGCAAAAGAGAGGAGAAATAAGGAAGAAGAAGAAGAGAAGGGAGAGAGAGGAGAGAAAGGAGAAGAGAAGGGAAAGGTTTTGGAGTCAACTGAACTGGCTGGCGGCGCCAGCTTATATTATTATATATAGGGCGACCATAATTAAAAGGGAAAAGACCCTTATGCCCCTATTTAAGTTAAGAGTACATAAAAAATGATAAAAAACTACTTTAACCAAACTAAACGGACCCTAACTCAGCTGAATACAAACATAAAAAGTAAACATTCCAACAAAGTCTCTTTGTGTCCTCAAACAGTCCCCTAGAGACTGGTTTATTGATGACATTGTGGTTACTGATAATGACACTCAGGAAGTGATTAAGCTCAAAAGATTTCTTAACACTGAATTTGAGATAAAAGATTTGGGGGACTTCAGATATTTCTTGGGAATTGAAGTTGCTAGATCTAATGATAGTATCTTCATTTCTCAACGTAAGTATGTTCATGATCTCCTTGCAGAGACTAGTAAACTTGGTGCTAAACCGGTTTCCACCCATATAGGCCTAAACCATAAGCTTTCTGCTACTGATGGTGAACTGTTGACTGACATGGGAGTGTTCCAGAGAGTGCTCAGGAAGTTGTTACATCTCTGCATGACTTGGCCATTTATTTCCTATGCAGTTAAGTGTTATTAGTCAATTTAGGCATTCCCAAGAGATACACATTTAGCAGCTGCAAAAAGAGTTTTGTGCTACTTGAAAGGCACTTCAGAGAAAGGTATTCTATGTGCCAAACATGGTCACTTGAAGCTAGAGGCATACACTGATGCTGACTAGGCCAGATGTATTGATGTTAGGATATCTACCTCAAGATATTGTGCTTTGGTGGTATCTGGGCCCCTCTTGAAAGAGGCTTATAAAGCTTAACTTTGACAGAAGTAGCATGGGAAACCCAGGAAGGTCAGGAATTGAAGGTGTATTCAGGGATGAGGAGGGTAAAGTGTGTGCAATATTCTCAGGCTCAGCAGGTGAAGGAGATTCACCAAGAGCAGGACTAATGGCAGTTATGGAAGGGGTGCAAAGAGTTAGAACCATGAATTTTAGAAAGCTAATCATTGAAGGGGATTCCAAACTGGTAGTGGCTTGACTACTGAATGAGGAAAGTAGGATGTGGAAATACAACAATGAGAAGAAAAAATTCAAATGGATTACAAAGGACATGGAACCGAGAATACAGTGGCTGAAAAGAATAGCTAACTCGATAGCTGGTGCACTAGCCAAGCAAGGGGTTGGGAGAACTCTAACATTTTGGGCACAAATGTAGTTTTTTAATTATAATTAAAATTAAAGGGGAGAGATAAGATGGCTTGTCTCTCTCCCACTTTCTCTTGTACACTTTCTTTTAAATTCAATGAAGCTATCAGTTATTCATCAAAAAAAAAAAAAAAAAAAACATTGTCTCATGGAGAAGTAAGAAACTGTTTGTAGTTGCCAGATCCTCAACTGAAGCAAAGTATAGGGCAATGGCACATGGAGTGTCAGAATTATTGTGGTTGAGATCACTTTTGGGAGAGTTGGGTATTGACTATGCGAGGCCAATGATGCTCTACTGTGACAATCAGGCAGCTATCAACATTGCACATAACCATGTTCAACATGTCAAAACTAAGCACATGGAAGTTGATAGACACTTCATACAAGAGAGAGTTGCTTCAGGGGAAGTTTGCTTACCATTTATTGCTTCAAAAGAGACTATATAAGCAAGTTCGGCATGACTAACATCTATGCTCAGCTTGAGGGGGAGTGTAGAGAGACTGGGCCAATGGGCCCTAATATTTCTTTTATGTTTAAGTAATGTTATATCTGTTTTATGTGTTAATGGGCCTTTTCTTAATGAGCCTGTTAACCTCTTTTTAAGTAAGTTACTGCTTTGCTGGCCGCCCACTTAAAGGGCAGGCTTGTGATTAGCATGATTAATTAAGTTTAATAAAAGATTAGTGAAGGGAGAGAAAAATCCATCGAACTCTCTTTCTCTCTCACTTTTCCTTATTTCTTATATCGATTTTATATCAGGTTTGAAGGACAGACTCACATCTATGACACTTGGCAGCTAAGAAAATATATTTCAGTGTTTCTACACAGATAAATTTATGACTTCCAAATCAAATTAGAAAAAGAAAATTATGCTGCAAGCCGAAGAGGATAGGTAGGGAACACTAAAATCAGTTATCTACCTTGTTTGAACTCTTAGGCCTGTTGAGATCATAAGCAATGTGACCATCACCCACAGCATCTGAGACAACCTCCTCAGTTCCCTCAATCGTGGCCCTTTCAAGAATATTGTATCTCTTCTTCTGCAAGAACTTTATCAGTGCCATGAGAGTATTGTGGCTCATCTTCTTAGACTCAAGTGTTGCAGTCTCATCAGACTCTACTAGATGCAATGGAGATGAGGACTCCATATCATCTGATGCATCTGAAGAAACTCTGGAGAGATGAGAACCATCCCATGTAAACTCAGGCACATTTTGCATCTCAGAAATCACCTCTGATTTGGGAAGAATGATAGATGGATATAAAGCTAATACATAGGTGATCTCTACTTGAGATGCCAAAAACTGTTCCATGGCCTCCTCGTAGTTCCCATTATCAAACAGATAGTGCCCATATCTGAAACCAAATAACTTGAAACTAAAATTAGGTAACAATTTCCTGAAAGAAGTATGAACATTATGATAAATGTATAAAATGGCACACTAGTAAGATTCCTTTAGGTTAGAGAAAAAATGGACACAATCCAAATGATGTAAATGAATTTCTGCAGAGCATACAAGATCACATGAATATTCCATATAGTATTTTTCACATGAAGAAGTGTCATCCAACTAACCCCCTAAACTCCAAATCAAGAGAAACAGAAGTTAAGGCAGCTTTAGCTACAAGGGTACATGACAGATTTCTGATTTCCATGGATTGACACTCATATATTGACCAGCAAGCCACTCCTTTCTTTCTTTTAGTTTGAGAATACAATAATCCCTCGTATATACCACAAAATGAAAATCTCATGAACTTTCTTGTTTTTTTTTTATGAGCCTGGTTAGATACAAGCTGCAGGCTCTAAAAGAAGAAAAGAGGATGTAGGTTGAATTACTGGCATAAAACCTTCATATGCTGTTTGTTCGCATTGCAAACTCATTTGCACTAGTACAAATCTATGGGGTGTCAATGAGAATAATGCAAATTTTGCTTCAGGTTTTACTTCATTTGCACTGTAAACAAACAAAACAACATAAAACTGAAATGAAAGTAAAAAAAACAACAATTTGCTCAAAATTTATTTGCACTCCCACACTACTTGTGCACCAGTGCAAATAAAATTGCACTACAAACAAACAATGCCTCAGGAACTTATGGTTTAGAGAGAGAGAGATTGGATGGGTCATAACTTAAATGAACAAAAGTATATATCTTTTTTGTTTTTAACTTACATAAAAATATCAAGGAACTTATTTTTTGGTGGTGCTGAACGAAATGTACAATCTACAGCAGATGGAGCCAGCCCACTGCTGCTCCCCCCCCAAGTCATCAGCAGCACCCTAAGTCCCTTCTTTCATCTAAGTGGATAGTCACTCCACTCCAGATAGTGTCAACAATTATTATGCTAATTGATAGCTGAATGAGAAATAAGAAATGATCATGCATTGTACATCAGCAATCATATGATTTGTTGCGATCATAAGATAAATAGAATCAATAAATGTCTTATAAAAATAAGTTTAAGAAGATTGAATGGCAGATAAGGAACATTCAACTGAAAATCCAATGGGTACAAAGATTGGCTAATGGTATGGCTGATGCATTAGCCAAACAAGGGGTCACAATGGATCAATTTTATTGGACTCAGTTGTAAAGTGAATACTTGTATTTGGAAAGGTAGTAGAATCTGTACTCTCCAAGGGATGTATGAAAGTTGATTTACATACATATCCAATGCTGTTCATAATTAATAAAATTTACTGTTACTTATAAAAAAGTGTCTTCTTTCTGGAAAGCAGTGCCGAGTGAAGAAATTGACAAGTGAATCTTGTTACTAACAACACAGTTACACAATCAACCCTCTATTAACATATGAAGAGATAAACAAAGTTAATAACTAGTACAGCTTTAGATGTTTTCTATATATTAACAATGACAGAAAAATGCTTCATTATACAAATACAAGATCTAATTTTGTAAAGCAGATGAAAAATGAACTTTATATGGTTCCTCTGTCTTAACAATAGGTAGAAGTTTTGGTAGATGGGCTACATACAATATGATATATACACATATGATTAGATATAAATATCACTCATACATGGTATATACATGTAGCACATGTAACTGATATATACAGAACTTTATTCTAATAACTAATAGTATACTGTAACATAACATCGAAAAAATAATCAGTTAGTGCATCAGAAAGATTATTGTCTACACACCATGGAACAAAGTTTGATCCTATGGATTATTAGATAGTATTACATTAGTAGAATGCATTATTAATTAATAGAGAACTCACATGTCTGTGTGGCATAGACCTACACATACGAAAATAGTTTTGCCAATCAAGGTGTCTAGAGAAGTTAAAATGTTCCAATGTTACAACATTTTTTTTTGATAAGTAAAATGATTTTATTAATTGTTAACATGGAAATAGGTGGGGTTGAGAGAGAGACCTTATGGAGCCATTACGCTACTTTCATATACTTTAATTGTTAACATGGAAAACTTCTATTGATTTGTGGGAAGAATAGGTAATATTTACAAAGGAAGTTGTGCCTCACCTAATATATTACAACAGGTATCCAATCTCCCTACACCATTTGACCCCTTTTTTCTATTTTCTTTTCTTTTCTTTTCTTTCCTTTTTTTTTGATAATTGTAGAGATGTAGAACAATAATATGATTATTTGTAGTCCCCACTGCTGCATGTCTCTTCATGTTACTGTTAGTATGTTAGCTGGATTAGTTGGTAGTTATTTCAGTTATTTTTTAGCCTACGTAAGTAGTAGGAGTAATACTGGTTTTTTACCATGTTTTAAATTATTAATATAAATAGTTGAGTGGGGCAACAACTTCATTTATGACCCACACTCTTTTCTGAAATTTTCTCCTCTTCTTCTCTTCTTCTTCTTCTATTCTTTGCATTCTTTCTTATTGAATTCACATCTAAACTAAGAATGATTGCAATCTTTCTAGACAAGTTGGTATTAGAACCAACCTGGGGTTTCTCACGTGAGTCTAATCAGGCCGACTGCATGAGAACTTCCTAGGGTTGGAAGTTTTAGCAAAGATAGGTCAATCAGCTGGTTCCTGGAAATTGCCGGTAGAGTGCAGCAGATGCCCGCGGGGTTGTAGAGCCTTGGAAGGTGTCCAGTGATCAGGAAGAATCAAAGGAAAGGAAGGAAGTTCAAGGTTAGGGTTCAGACTGAAGATTGGAGGTGGCAGCTAGACTGTTCTGGTTAAGTTTCAGTTTGTTTTTGATATCAACTTCAATAAGAATTTGATTTGAGTCATCTAGAAGGAGCGGCTGGAACTTTTCTGTTTTCTCTAGATTTCTTTTTAGGGTTTTTCTAAACCTACGACCAGTTCTCAGATTTAAACCCTAGATCTATGACTGTTATCAGTTTCTGGGTAACAGTTAGACTTGTTTCAGCACTTCAGATTAAGTGATATTAATTTCTGGGTGATTGTTAGACCTATTTCAACCTTCCAGGTCGGCTGTTAGCAATTTCTGGGTGTAATTACATCTGTTTTCAGCATTAAAGGAGTTCCTTTTTGATAAATTTCTTAATAGAGATGGCAGGAACTGGATTAAAAAAAAAAAAAAAAATCAAGGGGAAAGTGTTTTGGCGGCTGGTAGTACTGGAAACATGACTGGGAACACTTTTCAGATTACCGACCTTAAATTTGATGGATCAAATTACTTGAAATGGGCTCAATCAGCCATGATGGCTATTGGGGGTAGAGGAAAACTGAGCTATGTGATGGGGGATGTAAAAGAACCAACCAAGGAAGACCCAGCATATTGCAAATGGGTTCAAGAGAATTATTTGGTCATGGCTTGGCTGTGCAACTCCATGCAGCCTCACATCAGCTGAAATTACTTGTGGGCAAAAACTAGTACGGAGATTTGAGACATCATGAAAGAAACCTACTCCCAACCACTTAATGTTGCTAGGGCCTATGAGGTGAAATGTGAAGTAAACAATCTTAAGCAAGGAGAGAAACCAGTCTTAGTTTACTTCTCCACTTTGAAATCTTTGTGGCATGAAATTGATCACCTAGAGACAATTGAATGGGAAAGTCAAAATGATGCACAAACTTATAGAAAACAAGTTGAGACCAATAGGGTTTTTCAATTCCTAGCTGGTCTGAAATCAGAATATGATATTGCGAGCCAACAACTCCTCACCAAAGAAAGTGTGACTTTGTCTCAAGCCTATTCTTTAGTGCACAATGAAGAAAGTAGGAGAAAGGTTATGTTGCAATATCAGCCTATAGAATCAGCCTTAGCAGCAGTGAAACCAAAATTTGGGGTGACAAGGAGTGGGATATGAAGCAGGAAGATAAGACGGAGTTAGTGTGTAATCTTTGCAAGAAACCAAAGCATACCAAAGACACCTTCCTTTATCCATTGGCAATCGCATGAAAGAATTGTGTATTCCCATCCCCTTCCTTTTTCCGTTTTTGTCTTGACTTCTGTCTCCAAGATATTTTCTCTCTCTTGAGAACTTCTTCCAATTCTTTTTTTTTATTTCCATCTTAAATCCCTCTCTTCCGCACGGAGATTTCTCTCAATTTCCACATTGTCCAACTCTTCGATCTGGGAAATTAGAGTCAGTTTCCTTTCTTCTAACCTTCCAAAATGATCCCTATTCCACTCCTTTATTTTGGATCTTAATCTTTGCAATTTCTTATGGAATTTGATTCCTTCCCACCTTATTCCTCTTAGTTCCTCCTTCCACCAATCATCCACTTACGAATAAAGTCCGGATGTGTCAACCACATGTTTTCAAATTTGAAAGGAACAGGGCCATGTAAGAAGATTTCTGTTCCTAATCTAATGGGGCGGTGACTCTAGGCAACGCCCTGGAAACCAAACCTTCCCAATGATTTTCCCATCCTCTATTGAACAGAAATCTATCCAACTTTGAGCATTGTGGATTTTCCTGAAAATTGGACCAAGTGAAATTGGATTGCAACAGGGAGATCTCCTTCAATTCACACAAGTCTATGAATTCATTAAATTTCCACGTACTAGTGGTGATAGACTGATTGGGATTAGAAGTTTCATTGGAAAATCTTATCACATTGAAGTCCCCTCCCAAACACCAAGCACCTTCCCACAAACCCCAAATTGCATACAGTTCCTCCCACATATCACTTCTCTCTCTATAACTATTTGGTCCATAGACATTAGTTAACACCCAATTGAATCCATCCTCCACGCTCTTGAATTTTACTGATATGGTATACCTACCTATCAATTCTTCCATTGCTTCAAGCACTTCATCCTCCTACAAGATCACTATACCCCATAAAGCCCCCCCAAGGTGGAGCCTCAACCCATCTTATTCCTCTCGATCTCCACAAACTACTGATCAACCTTCAATCCAATTCTGTTAATTTGGTCTCTTGCAGCATTACCACATGAGGATCCTCTCTTTTTATTAGGTCTTTTATCACACTCCTTTTCCTTGCACTCCCCAAACCTCTTACATTCCAACTAATTAATTTCATGTTTTCACTTTTTAATTTGAACCCTCATTTTATTTTTCCTTCCTATATTCTTTCATCAGGAAGAGAAGGGTTATCCCAACTGAATCAAGGATAGACAACAGCTTAGCAACAAGGGAGCACTCAACCTCTCTTAACCCTCTTCTAAAACCCAAATTCCAAGCCCCCTCTTCAGAACCAGAGTAAAATGAAGAAGGGCTCATTTTTAACCAAGGAAAGGGAGTAAGTTGAAGGGAAAGCATCTTTAAGAGTTGAGTCACCCATCCAAAGGTCCTCCCAAAAGCAAATTTTAGACCTTGAATAACAACCCCAGCTATTTTGCAACAGTCCATGTAAGCTTGCGATCACCTTATGCCACAGTTTCTCACTTTCTAGAGGAAATCTCCACAACCATTTCCCTAGCAATGCTTGATTTTTACAAGTCACATTCCCCAAACCTAAACCACCTTCTTTCTTACTCAAACTCACTATTTCCCACTTAATCAAATGGTCCTTCTTCCCTTCCCCAGGTTCCTAGAGAAAATCCCTCATTAAGTTTTCCTACACATTGGCCACTTTTGGGGGGATCTTTAAAACAAAAAGGTAATAAACGGGGAAGTTTTCCATAGTAGATTTAATTAATGTTAACCCACCCCCTAAAGAAACACAATTCCACTTCCACACTACCAACCTTCTTTCAAACCTCTCTACAACTGGCGTCCAGAAGTTCAAGCCCCTTGGGTTACCCCCATAGGTAGCCCTAGGTATTTCAAGGGCCAACCACTAGTTTGACAGCCTAAGGCCTCCACAATTGCTTCTAAATCCCTCTTTGCTAGGTTTACTCCTACAACACATCTCTTCTTGAGGTTTATCTTCAAGCTTGAGATCTTTTCAAAAAGGTTCAGCACTAGCCTCAGCCTTTTTACCTATTGCAAATTAAACTCATCAAAAAATCATTGTGTCGTTTGCAAATTGTAGGTGAGTAACCACCACCTCATCACTTCCTACCCTCCACCCCCTTATCAGACCTTTTTGGTATGCTCTAGAAATCAGTTTACTAAGGACACCTACAATTAAGGTGAAAGTGGGTCTCCCTATCTAAGGCCTCTAGAAGCTAAAAAGAAGTCCCTTACCACACTATTGACCAACACTAAGAAGTGAGTAGATTGCAACAACCTTTTATCCATTTAAACCATTTGTCACCGAAACTACAATTTTTAAAACCTCTAACAGGAATGACCAATCCACCGAGCCATAAGCTTTCTCCACATCCAATTTACACACAAACCCTTTGCTTCCTTTCTTCTTTTCTCCTCTACACATTTGTTCGCTATCAAGATTTGGTCTATAATTTGTCTATCATGCACAAATGCCCCTAGGTTAGGAGTGGTGATGGAAGGAAGAACCTCTTTTAGCCTTAGGAACAAGACTTTGGTCACTATTTTGTAGACACTAGTCACCAGGCTGATTGGCCTGAAGTCTCTAGGATTCATGGCCTTAGGCTTTTTTGGAATCAACACAAGAAAGGTTGCATTGAGTCTTGGGTTTATTATGCCTCTATCATAAAATTCAATGAAGACCTCAAACAAGTCAAACTTGATTATATCCCAACAATCCTTGATAGAAGGCTAAGGTAAACCCATTCGGCCCTAGTGCCTTAGATCTACCCATGGAAAATACAGCCCTTTTTGTCTCTTCTAGGTCAAATCTCCTCTCCAACAGAGCCCTACTATCTCCATCTAATGAAGGCCAATCTAGACCTTCCACTCTCAAATTGTCCTCAAAGGGCTTTTTGAAGCAATGCTTATAATGGTTAACAATGACCTTTGCTATATCCTCTTGATTAGTGACCTCCACTCTGTCCCTTACCAATGTGGACAAAAAATTCTTTTTCTTTCTCCCATTTTCCACAGCATGAAAGAATTTAGCATTGTCGTCACCCTCCTTTATCCATTTGTACCTGGATTTTCAACTTCCACCCAAGGTTCAAAGTATCGGAAATGCAAGGTGTATCAAAAAGGTAATTTTAAGAGGCATATCGAGATACGCTTTGGAAATGCATAAATAGATACGAACGATAAATCAAGATATTCATGGATAAGCTAGAAAATCCAAAAAAAAATCCTTTAAAAATATGAAAAATAAAAATGAGTTTTATGTGATTATAACTAATTTATATAAACATAAAAACCATTCTTTAATGATTTATATAAAGTATTAGGATATAATTACTAACCATCGAAAAATAATAGAAGAACTAAAAAGTGTGTGTGTGTGTGTGTGTATACTAATATTTATTAGTTAATATTTTTAAGCCATTTATTATATAGATTTAGATAATATTTATTATGTATACAAGTCAATATATACCTTAATTTTTAATAAATAGATATAATTTGTATTCATCTTATTATTATATAAACTTTAATAATCAAATTTTAGCATTTGTTGGGAAACATCCACCAAGGCAAGAAACATTACTTTAAGCATAAAAAAACATGTTGTTATGACAAGCAATTAAAGTTGGCATAGTGATTAATTAATTATTGTTGTAAGCAAATGACTAGGGTTCAAAACTTGTTACCTTCGGTCTGTGATTTTTAACAAGTTATTTGACTTAAATAACATTTAATGATGTATTAAATGTCTTAATTAAAGGTAACTCAAATGAGCATTTAATTAAATAATATTAGTATTTAATGACATCTCAAATTTAAAGGCTTAATTAAAATTGATATTAATGAGAGAGAGAAGAGAATAATTAAATTTAAATTTGAATTTAAAAAAGTGAGGGAAATTAAATTTGGGTGAAACATAATGTGTATCAGCTCGTTTCGGGATTGTATTGGCCAATACATACCCGAAACAGTCCGATACAAGGCTGATACGGACCTGTATCAGTCCGCTACGGACGAAAAAATACAAAACCATCTAATTGTATATGTTCCATGTATTAGAACTCTTCCGAAACAATACACATCGGCCGGTACGGGCCGATATGTTGCAAAATTTAAAACCTTGCTTCCATCTTTCCATCCGGCAATGTGCTTCCCTTTGAGTGGGACCCCAATAAGTCCTGCTAGTGCATCTGCCTTGGCATTTGCTGATCTGCTGATCTTTGTATCCATCTGAATGTAGCTCTCAGCTCCCTTGAAATGAAATATATATTGACCCATGGTGCCATGAGAAAGGTTTTCTAGACATGCCTCTTGTATGTGGTCTTCTGGTGCATATGGAATAAAGGAATAAAAAGGGCATTTCAGAACAATGTGAATTCCTTCAATCCATAATTAAGACAGCTGTAAATGAACAGTAGAGTCATCCGTTGGGTATATGCATCAAAAACCATTAGGGATGTTACAGTTTATAGATCGTACATTAAAAATGTTTAGGGGGATTACAGTTTATAAGATCATTAGAGAGTGGATCACAATAAACATATAGTGACAGATGAACTCCAGATTAGAGAGGTTACAATTCTGACTTCCTCAGTTCAAGCCAAAACCAAGACAGATGTTAATTACCATTAATCCCTTTGGCATAGACACAAGGAAACTAGAAATCTTTAGGGAGACTACAGTTGATAAGATTATTTGAGAGTGGATCATTATGATAAAGTGATAGATGGATGCTTGATTAGAAAGGCTACTAGAACTCTGACTTCCACAGTGAACAGCTTGATTCAATGTATTCCCAGATAAGTAAAATTGTTAATTGAAAGACTTGCAATAGAGTGAACTTTAATGGCTATTTCATTACTAAGGCAAGGGTCTATTTGTATATTTTATCTAGGGGACCCAATTCAGGGTATGAGAGTCTTGGATTTTTTTGTAATACAGAGCCTTGGAGTTTGTATTTACATTCATTTATTTTCTTTCTTGTACATATACAAGAATGCTATTTTTGGTTGCAAAGAACATGGAAAGGAAGAAGATCTAAAAGAAAGTGGCTTTCCTTAGCTTGTGTGACAAGGGAAACCAAATGAGAAAAGAGAGTCGAGACAAAATACTAAGGTACATTTTCTTTTTGACCTCTTTTATTCTCTCCCCTAAAAAAGGTAGAGAAAGCAGAAGCAAAAATTGAAGAGTCATAGTAACCAAAAATGGCCCCACTCTCTCCTAAGAGAAAATCTATTCTTTTCTTTTCTTTTCTCTTAATTTTTTTATTTTGTTTTCCTTTCTCCCATTTTATTCACAACCATGCATTGTGTATTAGAAAATTTCTACTGTTTCTGAAAATTTTAAATGTTCCTATGTTCTGCCTGCATTGAGAAAATAATCCTGGATACAAATATGAATATCCCATTAATATATAAATGCTATGGGAAACATCACCTGATATGGATGGAACTCTCCTTTGCTGCTCGAAGGTTTGCATCCTCTGGTGGAAGCAGCTTACACAAAGTCAAAGCTTCCTCAAAATTCCCAGATGCTGTTAATTGTATAATCTACATTTTAAATGTGACAAGAAAAAGAAACACGTAAATAAACCACTGCAAGGAGTAAAGCTTAGTGTAATTGATAATACTACAGTATTACACCTTGGTAAAAATTCTGAACACAGGTATAACAAGTACAACATTTTACCCACCAATATCTGTAACATAAACTAACATATTATTAAAAAAAAGAGAAAAGAAAGTAAGGAACTTAGTAAACAAAAAGAAAGAAAAGAAAAGAAATTGAATTATTAATTAAACTTCTTAAATTATGCTAATGACAATATAGATAGTCCCAGGCTACTTGATGAGCCAGATCCTTATAAAACCACTGATGTTCTAAGAATTTGTTACTTTTCCACCACATGCACAATTTTCCTTTGTTTTAATAAATCTCTTTTTTATTGATTCAAAAAGGAAAGAAAGTTAAATTAGATAGAAGGATTTGCATATGACTATTAAGAAATTCCCAGTACAGCTCTATTTGTCTTTTCCCCTATCCCTAAAAAGGCCATTACCAAGTGCTCGTCATGGCTATCTGGGCTCTTGGGAGGAGTGAACTGGAACTAGCGCCAATATGTGTTACCTTCAAGCAGGTGAAAGAGATTGATATCATTCTTGTGCCTAGACAAGCCAAACATTGAGAAACAAATTAACTTGGCTGCTATTCTTTGTTAATACAAAACCAGCATGTTTTTTAATTTTTATTGTCTAGACAATCACTTGTGAAATAAACAGAGAGTGGTCTTGGTTGATGTGTTATATTGGTTTTTAGTGGATTGAGTTGGATGGGGATTTCCAGGTTGTTGTCATTGGTTGGATATGAGGTCAAGATTTTAATGGACTATCACGGACATGTCATCATCATTGTCCATGCCTTTTTTTATAGGAAAAATAAAATTTCATTAGAAAAAGAAAAAATCATTACAGCCTAGCCAGATGTTTAGGCAACACCTGCAATATAAACTAAACCATCAATATTACCCAAAGTACAACTCAAAATAACTTATCCAGATTACAAATTTGGAATCCCAAACTTCCCCAAGGTCCTCTTGTTAACTTATCTAAATTCTGGTAATACCAAGACCCAATCTGCAACAGATTTGCTAACAGCCACCACCAGTCTATCAACATTCCATGCCTTGTCTTCAAATACCCTTCTGTTTCTTTCTTTCCAGATGTTCCAGCAATACTGCAAAAGGTATGCAACTCCAAATCAGCCTTGCTTTCTTACTTCCTCTAATCTTTGACCATGCTAAGAAAACCTCTGTACATACTCTCTTCTTTTTCATGCTACCAACTTCATCTTCAGTTTGAACCTCCTCCTTCACTCTTCATTGACAATTCCTTCTTCCCTCCTCCTCCCACACCTCACCCCCTTCCCCAATAGCTTTACTTTTATTATATCCTTCCTTTCTACTCCCCTTCCCCACCCAAAAAGAATAACCCAAATGACTTCCCAACCACCACCTGTCTGTCCACTAGCCATTCAATACCCGCCCTCCTCTTCTTAGTGTTAACGTCTCCTATAGCCTCTTCCGCTTCAACCCCTCTACCAACTCTTCTCCCTCCCTTATATCCTTCTCACACTCCTATTGTTCTTCTGTCTCTTTCCTTTCAACCCCAACCCTTGTACCTCCTAGAATCACCGTTCTTCTCCTATTATAAACCCTACGTTGATCCTCCACAAATTTTTTCCTCTTCAACCTACTCCCCCCATCTCCAACTCCTTCAAACCCAGTTCCCATCATGGTTTCAAATGTTGCAACATTTCGCTAATGTCACCCGACATATGTCGATGTCGAGGCTCACCGACATGGAAATGGATGGTAATATAAAAATTACATTATTTCAGTTGACATTTCCTACATTTCGGAAATTTCGACCAAATCAGTCCAAATAACCAAAAAAAGACAAGTTTTCCTATTATGTCGACAGGATGTTGACAAATGTACATTAATAATATAATATATTAATATAATACAGTATATTAATATAAATTATTCCATTAATAATTTATATTTAATTTTTCAAATAAAATATTTATAAGAAAGAATTAACAAAAAATAAAAACAAAACAATAAATTAATTACTTTATAATAGAAAACATAAAATGTTTTTCAAGTAATAAAATACTAACTAGTTAGTATTTTTAAAATATTTATTAAAATCAGAAAATGTTTATTAAATTTTATAATAAATCACATTCTAAATTTAATATAAAAACCAGAATAAATTTATTAAATTTTATACTAAATCATAATTTATTATAARTTTAGTATTAAAAATCATAATAAATTCATTAAGTTTTATAAGAAATCAGAATTTATCATAATCTTAATACTACAAAAAGGAGAATCGGTTTATTAAATTTATAACAAAACATAATGTATTATAACTTTAATATTTAAAAAAATCAGAATAAATGTATTTCTATTTACTAGTGTAAAATAAATATATTAGAATTTATAATAAATTAAATTTAAAAATAAGAAAAGAAAATATCGGATAACCTTGTAAAAACATCAAAATGCATAATAAATCAACAAATCATCATTTACTAATTTGTTATTGATCTTAGTTTCTTAGCTTTATATAATGGTTGGGAATAAGATAATAGTCTAGAAATATGTATTAGTGCTTCTTTTATCATTTTACAAAAAATCATTGCATATTTCCACAATGTCTCTAATTTTTACAATATTTCCCCTTGACATTTCCGACATATGTCCTATATTTTGGTAAGCGACATTTCCATCGACATCAACATTTTAAACCTTGGCTCTCATATTGTCTTCCTCCCTATCAGCAACTCTAGGCCAGTTGAAGATGGAGAAGGTAGGGATCCCGATCTTACTTCATTATTCAATTGGCAATAATTTCTAGAGCTTTCACTCCAGGTGTCTTCTTCTGCACTCCACCATCACTTCAGTAATCACCTGATCCATGTTCACTAAATCTCCACCTACGCAATCCACTTCCCCTAGGACTCTCTTCCCATACTCGAAAATGGTATTTAGCAGTTGAGCTCCAGCCAATGAACTACTCAGTCGTGGTAATCTCTTTTTCTTTTGATAAGTAAAAGATCATTAAATTTCATTGGAATCAATAATGATAGGCATCGTTACAAGCATCCCAAAGGGAGGCACGAGATGCAGCCTCATCACTATTAGAACAGAGCTAGTACAGTAATTACAATTGCGCCCAATACAACTGATCCCTAATTACCCTTGCTTAGCTAATGAATCAGCCAATGCATTAGCCTCCTTCCCCACCCACTGTATACTTAGATTCATCTGCTGTGTTAACCACTGAAACTTCTTCATTTCATTTCTATAACACCAAATCACTAAGCCCGGATCTCTTAGCCAACCTACCACCACCTTTGAGTCCCCTTCAATTACCAGGTTCTCCAAGTTCAAGTCTTTGGCAATCTGAACACCTTGTAAGACTACAAACAGTTCAACCTTTAAAGAGTCTCCAATCCCCACCGGTCCTGAATAAAGTGCTAGTATGATCCCTCCATTTATTATGACTCCTCCAATTCCCAAAGGACTTGAGTTGCCTTGATTGCTCCCATCAAAGTTTAATTTCAGGAAACCTTCAAGAGGAGGTGTCCACACTGGCCTTTTTTTAATCTTCTGCACGGAACTAGATGCCACTGAAAACTAATTCCTCCACATATCATCAAGGGAGAACTGTCTAAATAAATCCAGAGTTAGTAGCCAATGTATAACCCTGGTCATTACACAGTCCAAAATCTGTTGTTTGCTTCTCTCCTTCTCTTGAAAGATTCTTGCATTTCATTCTTCCCATAGGATCCAAATCACTGCTGCTCTAGTACACCTCCACATTATTCTTCCCCTTCTTTTTGGCCAAACAGGGAGAAAAACCAATCCCAAATGTCTACAGTAAAGGAATAGGAAATTAGTAAATGGTAACAAGATTCACCAACGGATTTGCAAAGAGTGCACCAGTTCGGGGAAATACACAAGAAAGGCCTTTTCTTTTGTAGGTAATCCACAATGTTAATCTTCCCATAAGCCACTTCCCAACAAAAAGCCTTAATTTTGGGGGCAACCGGCTGACACCAAACTTCCTTAACAGGAAAAGAAAGAGGGCTAGGGTACTGGCAAAGAGCAAGAAAAAAAGAGGCACAAGAAAATAAACCTTAGAACTTGGACACCAAACTCTTCTATCCTGTTTAGAAGGCTCTAGGCAGACTTTATCAAGAAGAAGTAAAAGCTCTGACAAGCGAGTGACCTCTTCATCCCTCAATCCCCTTAGAAACCCAAAATCCCAATTATGATCCAAAGACAAAATAAGAGGTATTAAAAACTTCAAGATCATCTCATTTTTATACAAGTGTTAGAATGCTCGAGTCGGGTATTTTGGTCATTCTGGTGTATCTTATTGAAAGTGAAATGTCTATTGTATCTGAGTTTAAGTTAAGTGTCCCATCTTCTATGAGGGACAAAATTGTCTTTCTTGTAACKCAAGTTTTCATGAATAAAAGTCAAGTGGGTCGGCTAGGAGAGGTACTTTTGTACATCCTCTCTTCTAGTCTGGCCGAATACTTTTCTCCTCTCCTTCTTCTTCTTCTTTCTCTTTTCTTTCTTCTTTCTTCTTCTCTACTTTGACCTAGAAACAACTAGGGTTTATTCACAACAAGGAAAGGGAATACAAAGAAGGAAACAAATCCCTTAAAGGCCAATCACCGACTCACAAGTCTTCCCAAAACCGGATTTGAGTCCCTAAACAAGTATCATACTTGACAAAGCTGAGGAACTAATAGCGAAAACTATGGATTGCTTTCCAAGGTGTTGCCGAAGTAGTCTGACATGATACACCAACATCCCAACCATTCTCCAACCCCCCATGAATATTGCCCACCACCTTGTGCCACGAATTCTCCCTCTCTAAAGGCCATCTCCATAACCACTTCCCTAAAAGAGCCATATTCTTCTTCCTCGCATTCTCAATACTTAAACCACCTTCTTTCTTACTTCTACATACAACCTCCCATTTGATTAGGTGGTCTCTTCTAGCCTCACCCGGCTCTCAAAGCAAGTCCCTCATGATTTTCTCTAATTTCTTTTCTTCCCGTAGTGGAATTCTAAAGAAAGAGAGGAAGTAAATTGGTAGGTTAGCCAAGACTGATCTTATTAGGGTAATCCTACCACCAAAGGAAATATAGTTTCTCTTCCAAGCAGCCAATCTCCTTTTACATCTCTCCAAAATTGGGTTCTAGAATCTGCTCTCCTAAGGATTGGCACCTAAAGGAAGACCCAAGTAGGTCAAATGCGCACTTAAGGCATTCCCCTCCAAATTAATCCCTACTAGGCAACTCTTGTCTAAACGATTCAAATTTGAGATCCTTTCAAACTACTTGATCAATTCTTTTAAATTCCTCATCCTCTTGGTATCTCCCTCTTCACAAAAAATCATGATATCATCTACAAACAAAAGGTGAGTAATTGGAACATTGTTTCTCCCCACTCTCCAACCCCTAATTTCATTTTCCCTGCCATCCTTAGAGAGAAGTCTACTAAAAACATCCGCTAGTAAGGAAAAAGAAAAGGTGAGAGAGGATCACCTTGCCTTAACCCCTTGCAAGCTAGGAAGAAGTCTTTCACCACTCCATTAACAAGAATAGAATAGTGACAAAACCGAATACAACCAAACACCCAATTGCACCATCTCTCCCCAAATCCACGCTTTTGCATCACCTCTGTTAAAAGTTCCAATCCACTAGATCATAAGCATTTTCCAAATCCAATTTGCAAACAAATCCTTCTCTTCATTTCCTCTACACATTCATTGGTGTTTTCTCACAAGAATAGAGAGAGGAGAGAAGAGAGAAGAGAGAAGAGAGAAGAGAGAAGGGAAGAGGGAGAAAGATGTGTGAAAAGCAAAAGGTTGGGCTGGCGACGCCCAGCTTCTCTTTTAGAATAATATGATGTAACAAACATAATATTTTCTTTATGTTGTTATATCAACTATCATCCCTCAGGCTACCTCAAGGAGGTGTCTGTTATTTCTTTCTGCAACACCGTTTTGTTGCGGTGTTCTGGCACACGAGCTCCTATGAATGGATCCATGAGAAGCAAAGAACTCATTGAGCTCCCCATGGAAATATTCCTTCACATTGTCTGATTGAAAGATCTGATTTTTCAACATGAAACTGTGTAAACACCATCCTCTGGAAATCTTTCACGATCTTTGGGACTTCATCTCTGCTACGCATGGGAAATACCCATGTATAACAGGAGAAATCATCACTCAATATGATAAAGTATTTATACCCGCCCTCTGAAGTTATTGTAGCAGGCCCCCACACATCAGAATGCACAATATGGAAAGGAAAATTGGATCTTTTATTACTTGAATGAAATATTGTTCTACATTGCTTCCTTAACTGACACGTTTGACAATGGAAATTTGACACGGAACAGGACTTAAATAAAAAAGGAAACAAAGACTTCACTATTTCAAAAGACACATAACCTAACCAATTATGCCACAAAAAAAGACTCTTATTTGACTGACTATGTGACTCTGAGGATGACACCGAGAAACCAGCCTTGTTGAGAGTGTAGAGACCATCCACTAAGCTTCATCTACCAATCGTCCTCCCAGAAGCGCCTGGTTCAAACTATCTCTACGACCTGTAACAAGGTTTCTCCAGTTATCTAGGGTTTTCGGGAAAAATCTCCAAGAACCTGCCCTAGGCTTCAACTAAGGATGAAAAACCTCCATAAAACTCTCCAAAAACCTTCCTAACTAGGTTGCATAAGTAGCTGATTGATCAACTTATCAGTTCTCCATACACACTATGTATGGGCAAAGAAAAGAGAAAAAAGTCGAAAGTAAGAACCCGCTCTGATACCAAGTTGAAAATTACACCTACAGTAATTCGGATAGTGCAAGAAAAGAAGAAAAGAGAAAGAGAAAGAAGAAGAAAGAAGTTTCAGCAATTGGTTGTGGAAGAAGAAAAGAAGGGAAGAGAGAAAAGAAGAATTCGAACCTCTATCTCTAGCCCCCTTTCATCACTTCTATTAATAATTCTTAAGTCTGAGTACAATTACTCGGATACCCTTAATGGGGCGGCCAGCACTAAAGAAATAATTAAAGAAAATAAAAGAAGGCCCATAACTAAGAAACATAACTTTTAAATACTACTTAAAAGAAATAAAGAACACTAAGGCCCATTCTCACTACAGTGAGCAGCGAGTCTTCACAGTGATTCAAGAAGCTAACAGTCTCTCCAATCACAAACTCCAATTATGCAAGGGAATTTAAAGTGGCTTGTGAACTGAAAGCATTCCTTATTGATTCATGTGGCTAACTCATCCAACTTTTCATTCTAGGGTGGAGAAATAGTGGAGCCATTTCAGACAGAATGGCTGAATAGGTTTTTCTTTTACTCAAAAACTAGGGGGATTAGAGAGAAGCTAGAAACGTGGAACAAGGAGATTTTTAATGATGTCCGGTGGTAGTGCTCTCGGTACCTGGTTTACCCAGTATAGAGATATCCCTCTTGATGGCAATGGAGATATACTCAAACTTCTAGAGACCTAAGCATATAATAAAAAATTAAAAAAATAAAAAACTCATTTTCATGTCTTCAATGTATGAAATTTTTTAAGAATCATATTTGTCACCTTTGGTGATATAGGAGATTCATCTAGCATATTTGGATGGCAGGTGGAGGGGCTTTGGTCTGTCAATATTTGTTATAAATTGCATTAATTAGAGAATAATCAAGATGGCTAATAAATTTAAGTTCCTTTTCTTTTTCCTTTTTCTTCTTTGGTCTTATAGTTTGAGGCAAATAACATAATCCTAGGGCAAAGATGGTGTCAATATTCCCCATTGTACAGCCACTAGAAATACAGGGGCCTTTTCCAATCAATTGGAGTGTTACTCTAACAAAGTTTAATTAAATACTACCAGACTTATTACTGACAAGAAGTTTTACCTGTGCCCCAATAGGAACAGGAAATAGCCCATGGATAGAGCTATTTAATGCAACAATAACAGAGTTGTTGCTCTGGAGAAGATGATGAACATTGCGGAGAACAACTGTCTGTACCAATGGGTAAGGAGCTCGAAGGGAACGGATCTGCAAACCTCAAACAGTAGGATAAGAAAGCATAAATACATGGTTAACAAGGCAAAATGGAACATATTTGAATAGAAACGGTGTGAAAATGTTTTCTTGATGTGCAAAAACAATTTGCTACCTCTATGTGTCTTGGTAAGAGAGCTATTGCATATGGCTTATGGATGACAACAACTGAGGGGGCCTCAGACCAACATATCCTGCCATCTTGAAGAAGCTTCCCATTTTGGTCAACAAAAACTCCAATATTATCCTAAGAAACAAATTGGATACATTAAACTGTTAGAATTGCTCATAAAATTGAACTTAGGTTAAGGATATTTGACTGTAATTTATTGTATTCAGTGCATCAAATCAGGTAGGTGGAACATAATTATAAACAGTCAGGTATAAACCAATTAGGATAAAAGCATTTGAATGAGAAATGGTTCACTTCTACCATTTTACTACATAGCAACGAGCCCATTCAAAGTGTGGAATCTATAAACATGAAGTTAAACTTTCATGTCAAGAATACACAAACTATAGAGCATTACATATAAAAAAGTATTAAGAGTTCAGTACATATAGAACTTCAACTAAATTGCTAATTACTACTATAAATGTAATCATTGTTTTAAGCATATATTAAACTAGTTGTTTATTGAACTTTCCTATAGTGAGAATTATGATTTCTAAGGGTTTCTTTTTAGGTCTGAGAGCTCTGAGAGTAAATAATAAAGGTAATACAGTTCAAAAGCAAATAAGAGAAGAATACATGAAAATATTTTATGAATGCCATTCCTTTAATGCATCATCTGGTCCGTGTATCCTATTGGATGATGCTACCAGCCAAATGACTTCTTTGCTGATGATATTACATAATTCTGTGCATTTATACCAACACTTAGCATCAAATGAAAGTCTCAACATTCGTTAAAGGATGACTCCATGCATTTCAATGACTTAATCATCAAGAACCACTTCATCATTGCATGAAATTACAATGTTGATCTTGGGCCTCTTGGCATCTCAAGTCAAAATGAGATAAGTATTGTATCTACCTATAGGCAAGTACAGGATCATTATTTAGCTTCTCGGCCCAGTCCCTTGTTATCTCTTATCCAGTATATACAGAACATTTTTTTAATTTTCCCATAGATTGTTGGGGCATCAGATAAACGTTAACACAAAACATGTTTCCCAGATAATATTGGACAAATACAGGCATATCTACCTCTATCTATACATTAAATATACTCAAAGACATATTATGTAGGTTATTTTGCCAACTACTGCATTTATTCAACACACAAAATGCACAGTTACACATACTTGTATACATGTCTGTCTGTGCATGTCCATGTGTATATGCATATATATGGTTGCTTTCACATTTCTAGATTTTGGAGGTTTCCTGTACTGACATTTTATCAGTGGCAACCAAGGAATTTTATTAATACGTTTAAACAGAAATTACAAATTTACATGGCAAGAGGGATTTTGTAGACTAACATACACCACATCTACCCCACCAATTCTTTCATTAGGCTCCCCTTGGAACCTCCCCTACAAGAGACTCCCTCTATTTACCCCTTGTCTAGTTAAAGCATATCAACCATGCTGTTTGCACACTGGGAACCCATAAACCCATTGGAATGTGACCACCATTTCTTCAGCAATTAATTTGATTTCCCTTAATATAGACCTATATATCCCAGTACCCAGTGCTCTCCTTCTTAACCATCCCAATACAACCTTAGAATCCACTTCTGCTATGACGTTTTTGTAACTTGGACTCTTTCCCAGCCTCATCCCTTGTAAGAATGCCACATTGGAAGAGATATTGTCATGCAACTAGTTCTACAAAGAATGCACATATTGGAAAAGATGAACCAATTTGACCTTTTTTGAAGGATATTGCAAGTACCAATTTTCTCATGTACCACCTCCCAACATAGAACTTTAATTTTGGGTGGAATTGGGTCAATTTAAACAGCCTTCACTGGAAAATTGGGACTCAACAAAGGGTCAAGGGTTATAACCTTGAAGAAGAAAACAAAAGAGAACAAGCTCAATGCACAAGCCACCCATATTGTACAATCCCTTTTAGACAAGTCCAAGTGACCCCCCCCCCCACCCCATGACTCAATAAGAGAGGAGACAACAAGTGTCCTCATCTCTGAGGCCCCTCCTGAAATTCAAATTCCAAGATAATCCATTGATGGACAAAGAAAAACAACATGAAACCAGAGCATTTTTGGACACAGTACGAGAGAAAACAGAAGGAAACTTATCTTTGAAAAGTAAATCCCCCCACCACAAATCAGCCCAAATTTTGGTTTTGGTCCCCAAATGAACCTCCTCTTTAGTGGTCAAAGAAAAACTGAGAGAGTGAAGAATTAGCATTTCAAGGAGCAGCATGAGTAGCAGCCAACCCCACATCCCATCCACAGCCAGCATACCATGAACCATGAATACTTCAACTTACGTTGTGCCACAGACAATGTAGGAAAATCACGATTGTGTGACTTGTGTCTGTTCCCCTTGCTATAGGTTCTTATAAATTATTATTTAAAGCAAAATGGTGTAGGAAAACCTATAATGCAATTTTTATAAAGTTTTAAACTGTTTTATAAAATAAAAGTTTAGAATTAGACAGTTGAAATGGGAAAATGAGTTAAAGACTAAAAGTGAAACAGAATTAAACAATTGGCAGAGAAGAAAAATACTTTTCCCAAAAGAAGCTCTCCAGAAGGAAGAGGGACCACTAGTGGTGGGGCAATCCTTCCAGAAGGAAATATCTCAGATAATGCACCATTCATTGCATTTAATATCATGTATTCCCTTCTAATTCCCATGCATATATTTTCACCGCACCAAGCCATGGACTTCACCAAATCAGGAACACTAAACTCCTTCACCTCCACAAATCCTCGACCTCCTGGCCAACCAATACAACATTATTATATTCTACTGAATTAATAAAGTGGTGAGAAACATTAAAACAATTCATATTATACCAAAACATGGCAAATTTTAGCAATAGAAAAATGTTTTGAATAGGTTAAATTTTGGAAAAAGCCATAAGGAAAGTCGAATGGAAGTTAAAACATAGAGCTTTTGATGGAAATGCATTTAGAAGTTACACAATATACAAGAAATGGGTAAAAAAGGAAGAAGGAAGAGGGAGAAATGTCGAAGATATTTATTTACCCTCTAAAAGAAGTAAATCAAGTAACTCTCGATAAATCTCTGTTCTATATGATATGACGGGAAGACCGCCTATAATGAAAAAGGTTACTAAATGATCGATGTTACCTTAAGGAAATGGTAACAGATTCGCCTGAAGAATTGCTCCTTTCTTTCTCGTATGAATTTAAGCAAGCATTATATGATACAATTGATTGAAAAATTCAGGCAATACAAATTGACAAAAATACAAGCTGAATTTAGGGAATTACCGTCATGCCTGAAAATACAGACTCTTTTCTGTTTCGCGAAGCATAAGAATCCTCTCCGGTCATCCCAACAGAACAAGTTGGCTCCTTTGGCCTTGGTAATCACGGCTACCGTCTCGACATTGGGGAGCCGATGAAATGCGATAGATTCGGACAAGGACACAAGAAGCTCCCTCGACACTGAGACCTCCATTGACACCAGAGGCTTCTTGGAGAATCCAGTAATTGTTCTCTCCAAAACATAGGGCTCTTTACGCATCTCCGGATTCAGGTAAAGGCGATCAGAAGGTGGCGATCGATCAGATGCTGAGGATTCTGGAACGAAAATCCTGATACAACCATCGGTGCAGCCTAGAAGAAGCTTGGAGCTGTATGATCCCACGGTCTCGATCTTCGACGGGCAGTTGTTGAGAAGCTCGAATGAATCATACGCACTGTGCACCATTTCGCGCGTTCACTCTCTCTCTATCTCTCCTCGCTCCTCACCCTCTCTCCCTACGCTCGGTTCTTTTGTTCAACAGGCTGCCAAAACATCCCGCGTAAATTACCGAAGCCGCAAAAAGGGTCTCTCTGTTTAGTGGTAAGTGGTAACGACTTTTACGTTAGCTGGTCCATTTGTGTTTCTACATAAGTGCTTATTAGGTGATAATGTTTCGTCCAAAAGCCTCATTTTTTATTTTCCATTTTTACCCTTATCATGTTTTGTATTTTAAAGCTTATTTTCACTTTCCRTTTTTACCCTTTATATTATTATATTTTTATTTTTCCAATTTTATTTAATTAACGGTTAACACAATTTATAAAAATGAAAATTGTGTTTTGTATTTTATTTAATTAATGGTCAATACAATTTTATTTAATTAACGGCTATCATGTTTTGTATTTTAAAGCTTATTTTCACTTTCCGTTTTTACCCTTTATATTATTATGCTTTTATTTTTCCAATTTTATTAAATTAACGGTTAACACAATTTATAAAAATGAAAAGTGTTTCATCAAAAAGCCTGATTTTTTACTTTTCATTTTTACCTTTATCATGTTTTGTATTTTAAAGCTTATATTTTCACTTTCCATTTTTACCCTTTATATTATTATGTTTTTATTTTTCCAATTTTATTTAATTAACGGTTAACCATTTATAAAAATGAAGATGTTTTGTCAAAAAGCTTATTTTTTACTTTCCATTTTTACCCTTATCATGTTTTGTATTTTAGAGCTTATTTTCACTTTTCGTTTTTACCCTTTATATTATTATGTTCTTATTTTTCCAATTTTATTTAATTAACGGTTAAGTGTTAACACTTGTAATTGAATAATCTCTGTACCATTTATAAAAATGAGGATGGTGACAATGTTTCATCAAAAAGCCTAATTTTCACTTTCCATTTTTACCCTTTATCGTGTTTTTTTTATTTTAAAGCTTGATTTTCATTTTTCATTCTTACCCTTTGTTATGTTTTTTATTTTTCAATTTTATTTAATTAACGGTTAACACTTGTAATTGGATATTTAGCAAATAAAATAATAATAAGACTGCTAGAACCTACTCCTCACCTTATCTGATCTTCTCTTGAAGTGCCTACCTAATGAACCTCTTCATTGATTAGAGCCAACATGTGTCAAGTATCAAATGGTTTGCCCAAACCACAAATTTGAATTGAAGGGAGGAATAGATTTTTTTCAACCTCTCTCTTTCCATCATGGAACAATCGATTAGATGATTAAATGAAGTTTTTTTTTTTGTTTTCTCAATGTTTTTTTCCCAATTGTCTCCACTAATGTAATAAGTTGTATTCGATCAAGAAATGCTCTTATCATTATATTGATTCACTTTAGGGTGTTTTTCCTCGACAATCATTAAGCTAATCTGGTAATCCGATGATCATGATAATTATGAATTTATCATATTATTGAATAACAAAATAATTATCAATAATTATTGCTAAATTGTCAATATTTTTGTAATAATCGTAAATCATTTTATAAATTACTACTATTATTTTTTAACTATTAATAACCTCAATAATTTCAACATTAAAAATAATTTCAAAATTTTCAAATTATCAAATTATATCCTAGCATTTCTTTTACATCATAATCTCCATAGTAGCACACCACGTATACATTGCCATGATTTTTTTTGCCTTTATGTAAAGCCTCCAAATAAACAAGTCTACTTAAAATAGAAGTGGGTCATCACTTCTTTGCACGTGATGTCTGCTCGCCTTATCTGATCTTCTCCTAAAGTACATACCTTACGAACCTCTTCATTGGTTAGAGCCAACACGTGTCAAGTATCAGATGGTTTGCACAAACCAAGAATCTGAATTGAAGGGAGGAATGGATTTTTTTCTACCTCTCTCTTTTCATCATGGAACAATTGATTAGATGATTAAATGAAGCTTTTTTTTTTCTCCTTTTTTTTTTCAATTGTCTCCGTTAACGTAATGAGTTGTATTGAATCAGGAAATGCTCTTATTATTATATTGATTCGTTTTAGGGTGTTTTTTCTCGATGATCATCAAGCCAATCCGGTAATCTGACACCCTACCAATGTAATACCGTAGGGGTTGTACTTGATAGGGTCGTAGGGGTTTGGAATGCATTTTGTTGGTAGCAGATCTGGACTCTTTTATATAAATCAAACTGATGATTGATTTGAATCTGAATATAAATGAACCAAGATCAACCTATATCCTGATGCTAGTCGTTTAGATATGCAAATAACGGCTCCACCATTGACGAGCAAAACGACAAGAGGCAAAAAGCCAAATGTCATCATTCAAAGATTAAGCGAAAAACATAAATTCTAAAACCCCAGTTCTCTCATTTAAACCCCTCTTTGCATAGTGTATCTTTATCCATTCCCCCTACTTTACAATAGGAAGGAAGTAGTAGAAATGGCGTCTCTCTTATCCTATGCACCTTTCTCCTCAAAATAAAGACAACAATATAAATTACTAAAAAAAACAAAGAAATACACAAAAAATATAGAAAATCATAAAAATTTTTATATATACCATACTAAAAAAATGAGAATGTTGCAATTGGTATGGTCAAAACACCCTAATTTTACTTTCCAACTTTACCCTCAACTTTCTATTTTTCCCCATTGTATATATTTTCACTGCAAAATAATTATGAAAAACATAAAATGAAGAAAACAATATAAATTACAAAAAAGCAAAGAAATACATATAAAATTTACAAAAAATATAGAAAATCATAGAAATTTCTATACCTACCTACTATACTAAAAATGAGAATGTTGCAATTGGTTTGGTCAAAACACCCTGATTTTACTTTCCAACTTTACCCTCAAATTTCTATTTTTTTTCTTTTGTATGTATGTCATTGCAAAATCATTATGAAAAAAATACATAAAATGAAGAAAATAATATAAATTACAAAAACAAATAAACAGAGAGAAAAATTACAAAAAATATAGAAAATCATAAAATTGAAGAAAAAATAAATTACAAGAAAGAAAGAAAAACCACAAATTATAGAAAAATAAACAAAAATTGTAGAATAAAATAAAAATTTATATCCACTATCATATATAAAAAATGAGAATGATTCAGTTAGTGTGGTCGAAAGACCCTGATTTTTCATACTAATTCTACCCCTTAGTTTTTTTTTTTGTTATTCTGACATCCAATTCTATATGAGAGTGCATGATTGTTGTTGGCAAAAAAAAAAAAAAAAAACCATTGTCCTTTCTAAAAGGAAATTGGGTGGGTTAGGTACTTAGGTTTGGGTTGAGCCTCAACCCAACCCACTTGACCCATCAACCCACTAATGACCCATTTTGGGTTCAACCCAAACCTACCATAACCCAACCCAACCTGCCCAACCCATTAATTTTTTACATAATACATAAATTCTAGAAAAAAATATAACTATAAAAAAATACATAATATATAAATAAAGATATAAAATGTAGAAAATAACATAAATTAAAGAAAAATAAAAATTACAAAATAATTATAAAAAACACAAAAATGAAGAAAATAATATAAATTACAAAAAAAAATAAATACACAAAAAAAAATTACAAAAAAAAATGTAGAAAATCATAAAAATTGATGAAAAATAACAAAAATTACAAAAAAACAAAAAAAACTATAAATTACAAAAAAATGAAAATAAAAAAATTTCATTCCATGGGCCCTGGACATGTTTGTCAATAAGGCCCAAGTCTTCTAAGGGAATTGGCCACTAGGGTTGTATGTTATCATGTGTGTGGTTGTTAAGTAGGGCCTACAACTAATGTCCTAAGTCATATGCAACACTGTGACATATTATGAATTGTTCGATTGTTTTATTCTTGGACAAATGCGCAGAGGTGCTCAATATGCCTAGAAGGTGTTTGCATACATGTTACATTAGTGGTTGGTTGATAAATTTTTCTTTCAACTAATTTCTTTATCTCGTCTTAGTTAAAAAGTAATAAGAAAATGTTTTAGGTTTAAATGTAAGTCATTTAATAGTCATCTAAGATAATGACTTATACTATTCAATGGTTACTTGTGTAAAATAGCATAATAGCTTTGTTTACTTCTAACCATTAATAGTAATTACTTTTATAGGTTTTAGGTTATTACAAAACAAGAGATCGGTTAAGAGTGACATCTCCTATTCTCCATAAATTTTGTGTTTCATTGGGATGAATTGTATTTGTATATAATGTTGTTGAATGTAATTTTGTCATTGATTTGGTGTACTAATGTTTCAACCTAATGCATTTGCATCCAACATTATGCATATTATAAAATTTAGATCTTGGCATTTTGTGACGATAGTTTTTTTTATGTATTATATAATTGTCATAGGACTTGAACATTTGTAAACTTTCATCTATGCTTGAGATATAAAAGTATAGTCATACATCACCATCAATATCAAATACCTCATGCATCGCATGGGCCATTCTACTAGTTAGTAATTAAAATATGGGAAAATCTCCCATTAGTATCTTGTACTTTGGGCTTAGTGTCACTTTGATCCCTAAACTTTAAAATGCAATAATTCAATACTTGTACTTTCAAAATGTGTCAATCTGGTACCGTTAACCGACTGTTAACCAGTCGTTAAATGACTTTTGAGAAAAACGCAAATGCCTTTTGAGTGTAATCTAATTTTCTTTATCAACCATCCAAACATTGACAAAAAATGAATAGTCCTAAAAGTTGTGGTCCAAAATGGCCACTTAGACATGACCCCAACTTTCTTGAATGGAAGAAGCAAGGATTTGGGATTGTTAATTTTTTGTCAACGTTTGGATGGTTGCTAAAGAAAATTAGATGACACTCAAATGGCATTTGTGTATTTTTCAAATGCTACTTAACGACTAGTTAACAATAGGCATTAGATTGACACGTTTTAAAAGCTTGGATATTGAATTGTTGCATTTTAAAGTTCAAAGACCAAAATGACATTAGGCCTAAAGTACAGTGTACTAATTGGAAAATTTCCCTTAAAAAATAAGTGCTTATATTATTATAATAAGAGAAATTGTCTAAAACTCACCATGAGTTTTCAACATTTCTCTTAAACTCACCACAACTTCTCAAAATGTCTAAAGCTCACC